AGTAGCCATTTCTCTAGCTGGTCTGGGACGGGAGCTACGGGACTCCGAGCCGAGCAAAGCCCCAGTGCAGCCGTAACTCCCCGCCGTGGTGCTGCTCCACGAGCAGCTGCTCATTTTATGGCCACTGCTTGTTTCAGCAACACACGGGAAGGCAAGAAATGACAAATACCGTAGGTACAGACTCTGCAAAAAGCTTTCCAAAGAAATTTCCTCGCAGACAAGCAAGAGAAATGCTAGAAATAATGAGGAAATTAAGAGCAACAGGAAAAAAAATAAATAAAATTTGGCTTACTTCTCTATTAAATCCAGTGTGACTCCTGGCACCAGTCTGACGTTCGCTCTTCTGCATACAGAACCTGTGAGGAAGAGAATAAAAATAAAACATACTAATTGAATATTTAAAGACAAGGTTCTGTGGAAAGAATATGGAAGAAGGTTTCTTCATTACAGTGCTTCTGCTTTTAAAATGGTGTTTGGGTAGAAAACTTTGCCACAGCATAATAAGAATCAAACCAGGCCCTCAATATTTGTCACACTTGCGATTATGCGGCGATTTCCATCGTCAGGTGTCAAAACTGGGATATTGTAACTGTCACGGTGACAAGTTTTCCAACACAGAGCGGGGCGGAAAAGGGCTCACAGTCATCCAGCACAGTCTCTCGGGAGGAGCAAGACGACACAAGAGCTGAGGAGGTTTATGCTTCTGGAATAATGATTAGCGTTGGCTGGGTTTCCCTGAAGAGATTTGGCACTGCAGGCAGGGAAGTGAGAAAGGGAGGGAACGAGAGGGATGCGTCAAGTTCAAACAGCTCAGTCATTTAATTAAAAAAAAAACGCTGACTCCATTTCCTCAGCACGACAAATACCGCTCGTTCAGGAACGCCGACCCTGGGAAAAGCAGAGACCTGTCAGCACTGCCACTGGCTGTGCCTAGAAAATCCCACGAGCCACCCAAAGCGAGTGTGGGAAGAGAGCAGGACTGCCAGCCCACCTTCCCAGCGCTTGACTCCCTCCTCCAAACTCCGGGATATGCTTCACCCCTGGAGGGCAGAAGTGGGAAACGAGATCTGGGAGGAAACCCCAGCAAATTCAACTTGAGAAATGACTTGCTCAGTGGTATCGCTACACTCCCAGCCCACTTCCACAGTATTTCAGAAATCCACTCTGTCGTTTAATGACGAATTTACCCACCAGTGCAATCTTAGTCGATACTGGAGCCCCACACCGTTCCCGCGCGGGGCTCCTTTCACCAGAGCCACCACATCCATATCCAACAGGCTCTTCCCCAGGTAGGGAGAGCAATCATGTCTTTAAAGACAAGATGTGCAGAGCCCATTTTTGAAATCTTGAGGGCCCTCCGGTTTTCTTGCAGCATCCCCTGCCTGCAGGACGCCCGCTGCTGCGCAGAACAGGGATGGCTCTGACCAGCTCAGTGGTCTCCAGGCTGCTTTTCTGATGTGTGCTCCATCCGTCATAAAAAAAGTCATAAAACTAGCTACAAACACTACAGTGGGATCCCTGTACAATCTCCAAAAATATAAAGATCTTATAACACTGCTTTACAGAACCACACAGGAAAACATCCCTCTCGCACAAAAACCGCAGGCAGGATCCAGCCTGGCAGAACGGGGCCCCTGGGATCAGGCTGGGGTCTCCCTACAGACTGAGGATGCCAAAAGATGCTCGATGCCTCTATGTTACGACATACCTGACAGAGGACCAGAACAGAGCCAGCACAACTTTGTACTGTTACAAATTTGCTTTCTCTAAAGAAAGAAGAGTTCTCTCTATCACACAGTATTTTGGATTTACTTCGGAAGCCTCTCAGCCGAGCTGTGATTTGACCTAACCTCACTCACTCAGCAATACTTCACAGGCTCACAGATTAATAGGACAGTGCTGCACGCTGTTGCGGACACAATGTGAAAAGAGGATGAGCATCCTAACCCTGCGCAGCACAGCCAGTCTCCTCCGGGCCAGGCGGCACGAGTCCGAGAACTGATGAGCAGGCTCCCGCCCGGCAGCGGAGCAAACAAATACATCAGCCTCCTTTTTGTAAGGATTTGTCCTAAGTGCAAGGCTTTTGCTTACAGCTTGTTGGATTAGAAGCAGAAAGCTTGCCCCACGCGTGCAGACATTCAGGATGCACAGCAGGAGAAATGCCAGTGCCAAGCGGTTCTACAGCTCCAACAGCAGGGCAGGTACAGCTCTGAGGGTCAGCTCTGAACAGGTATTTGCACCTCGAAATGCGTTACGCAGCCGTCATTTAGTACTTCCTTAGGGAGCTGCTAGTCCACTGTGGGCAACACGTGAATAAACTTAGATTTCAGTTATTTCATTTGAGCTCGTGGATCCTCAGAGAGGACAAGATACAACCAGACTGCATTTGACTAGTGGAAACCCAACCCCAACCCGCCCTTTCTGCCCTGACCACGGATCCGCCCCATGTTCAACAGAACGGGAGTAAAGCAGCAAGCGCTTACTGCGTGAAAGTATTTCCTTTAGAAAGCACCCACCACTGTCCTGAATATTTTGAAAGAGATTAGTTCATGAAAACCCCACTGAACCAGCAGCAGACTATCTGCATTTCCTCTCTAACAACCAATTGCCAAGAAAATGTACTCGTAAACAAAATGTTCTTCATCCTGTATCTGCATCCCCTTCATCATTCCGAGCCTCTAAACGTGATGTCTCAAGTGGCGGTTGGCATCATCATCACCAAAATTGGGCAAAATATGTTAGAACTGCGCATAAATGTACCAATACATGCCAGGTAATAAAGGACAAAACCCGAATACACATAACAATGCTCAACTGGGCTCTGCTCAGACATCACAGGAGTATTTTGAAACTGAATTTAGTTTCTCTAAATAAATTTGGGACAGAGGATTGGCTCCCCCCAAAATTTCAAGCAGAAATGCAAAATAAGTACATTAGGAAAAAAACCAAACCACTTTAATATTTATTCTACTTGCCCCAACACAAAATTAGCTGTCACAGGTGAAGCTCTTTTGGCCATACACTTACAAACTGGCTGTATTTGGGTTCTGAGGCACAAACCGCATCTCTGAAATTCTTGAGTCTGAGCAGTTCCCCAATGTTTTGTTTCTTCTTGTTCTGGGGGGGTCTCCAGCGCTTCTCAGGAGCCCTATTACTCTTTTATAAGTGGGACTTCATGGTTCAAACCATTGTGTCCTTAACTTAGACAAGCACAGCCTCCTCCCTGATGTGTAAAATTGTGAAAATGTAATTGCAGCTTGTTTATGTCTTAAGAGACCGATGCTAATATACAGGTACGATGCACTACTGATCACAGTATAGCTCCTTTTTGCTTTAGACAGCAAGAGACACAGATCTGCGTAAAAGAGTGCACCAAACGTATACTCACTTCTGCCTGTTTCTGCAATAGCTGCGTCTACCTCCTGATTGGTGTGTATCAGTCAAGACTAACGATCTACACGGCTTATCTTTAAGCTTGCCTCATATATAGCTATATATAGTAACAACATATATTCAGAATACGCAGCTCACAGCAGTCACTGCACACGAAGATAATCAGTATCAAGTTAGCCAGGATTCACACGCGGGATTCCTGGAATTGTCAGGCTGTCATCAAGAGTTTCGTGCACTGCATTCGGAAGGGCATGACTGACCTGTGTTTCTCTTACCAGCATCAATTTTTCTTCCCCTGAAATTAGACTGAAGTGGATGCAGCTGCAGCCCTATCTGATAAGTGATTTTGTCCATCAGTTGTTTACTTCAAATACAGAGCACAAAATGGGATGGGTAGAAATTCATTCATCAAAATTTTATTTGCCCATAAATTCAGTATATGAAACCTCATTAGCCTGTCAGTCCAGAACTGCAAAAATGTTATATTTCAAAAGCAATTCTGCAGGCTTCTGGATCAGCTTTAGTCAAAGGGATAGACTGAGGTAAAAGAAGTTTTAATGACAAAAGTTTACATCTTTATTTCTGCTTAACTGTCTGCTTTAGGACATCAACATACAGCTTGCATCCAACAGCTGGAACGCAGGAGGAGGTCTGGCTTTGCATAAATTATGTTTAACAGCAGTGAATAACAATGCTCCGCGAGCAAGCACTTATTATTTACAGGACTTGCATAGAGAAAAACAGAACCACAATAATGCCAATCAACAGGGAATATAAAAGGAGCATAGCCTTCATCGGAGAATAGAGGAGACATTTTTGTGTGCACTAAGCAACACACATAATCATTGGATTAGGTGTAATAGGAAATGCTTTACTATCGGGAGTTTACATGGCATCTACCAGCATAAACCCAGGAACAGCTGAGGTTAATAGTTTTAAATCCTTCCCGAGCTGCATTTTTACAAGCACATTTCCTGTCAAACACAGGAGACACAACTCAGAACGCCTCCTGCTTGTGCCAGCGTAGGTCTGCTCAAGGGCCTGCCCTCATCAGCCCTCTGCCACAATCCCACGGAGATGAAGTAACAGAAAATTCCTGAACAGATCACGATAGCAAAAAAACCTTCCTCAGTATATATAAACCGTGCATTAAACACTGTTGTGTAAACACTTTGCGTGTTTGGAGGGGACTTCCTTCTGAAACAAACCAAACCAAACACAACCCTCTTACAGAGCTTCAGCATTTTAACTATGGCACCAACTCTGAAGTATGTTCTGATAACTGCAAGGGAAGGAGGACCCTGAATCCCAATGCCAAGAGCTTTCACTTCATATACAGACCTTCAGTTTGCTATAAACCAGATCATCTTCAATAGGCATCAAAGCCCGTGCTAAGGATTCCCACTAAGACTTTTATGAATTAGTGAAAACAAGAAGAATTAAGTGGTGTCATTGTGTCCTGATGGTATTGACTTAACACACATGGACAATAATGAGTTAATCAGGATAGCTGCGAGCCTCAGTGGTGTTCCCCCCTCTCCTCTCCACAGTGTTTTGGTGAAAATGTTCTCCCTAGAACCTGAACTCAAACCCCATTTGCCGAATCCTGTGTCACTTTTTGCTTCACTTATTGGTTTTGGACTCCATTCAACAAGTAATTTTTTAAACAACATCATTTGTATTTACCAAGTTGCATTCATTGTCATCTGAGCTAATCAGGTGGAATGGTCAGTTAATTTTTAAAGTCTTTCTCCATAGAAAAAACCAGCAGAAATCTAAACTTCACATCTGGATAGCAGCCACAGGATAAAAGTAGTTCCCTGCAACCATATTTTCCCAGTTATAAAACACAGTATTTCTCAGAGTTCCCCTAAAGGAATTTTGCCGCATAGTAACTTTCTTTAGCTTTTAAAAGAGGAGGATTTGTGCAGGCAGCTTCAGAATTTTCCGACAGCAGGCAGGGATCAGAGCCAGCCTACCACGGCATCAGCATCAGGAAGAACAAGGTAGCAAAGCTCCATGTCCAGTCAGTCACCTCGGCAATGACGAGCTGTCACAGCACCAGCTAGATTGGAAGGTAACCTCTGCTCTGCTTTCACCTCTCCCAGAAGGGAAGCACATCATTCTCCAAGGATTAGGTGAGATTAAATGTCTCTGGCTAATCAGCAGGCTCTATCCTGGTGTGTACCTGCAAGTGCTCACTTGTGAGTTTTGATGAGCGGTTAGTATAGCAACCAGGCTGGTATCTTAGAAAAACAACATAATGTTTTGTTTTGACAAGAGAAGAAGGAAAAAGAAAGATGAAAATTATTTTAAAGCTGCAAGAGGAGCACACACCTGCCTAACTTATTTAGAGGTTTGCCGTTCCTTGTCTAGTCTCCCATCGCTTCAGACTCCTGGTCCATGACACCTGGGTCAGAAAAATCATTTTCTCATTAGCTCTCTCAAAACCTTCCCTCAAAAATATTCCTAAAGCTGAAGCTCTTTGCCCTGCTTCACAAAATTATCCAAGACTTCTACCAGTGGTTACAAGCTGTGACTCTCTTCTGTGAGAAAACACCCTCTGAGCTCAAAATCAAAAACAGGACAAGAAATTAAACGGGTTTTGTGCTGTCCCTCACACAAGCAAAAGACATCCATCAAAGGTGCTCTGCATCAAACCAGAACCTGGGCAAATAAACTCGCTCAGTTTGTTGCTTATATACACCAGAAACAGTGTAAGAATTCTAAGTTATTATGAGTATCTCTAGAAGACAGATAGTAACTCTTGAAGCTGTGGTGACTCGCTTCCGCCTGTTTTAACCTAGGCTAGCGAACGGGCTAATTCCCGACCACACATAACCTTGAGAGGATCAGTGAAACTTGCCGACAGGAACGAATCGACAGAGCTATGTGCGGGGTGCGCACGCTGGATTCCTCGCACCGTGTCCTCAGCCACACCACGGTTCTGTGGATTCCCTCTGTTGTGAGGTAAAAATATTGCTCTTCGAAAGCTCCTGCTATCTGTAGCAGCCTTTTCTAACTTGCTGCCTAATTAACTTGGTATGTCATTCCGTAACATCTTTCTTTGGTTTATCGCTCAATTTCTTTCACTACAGCATTATTTAATGCTACTGTATTATTTACAGCAACCACAATGTTTGGAATGTGATTTGTACAAAGGACAATTTACAAAAAGTTGTATTGCACTACGGCCTATTTCTGCTCTGAAGAAGCAGATATTTAATTCCCAGAACAGTAAATCCCTTAATCTGAGCAAACCTAGATATTGAGCCGGAATCTAAAACGTAATAAGTAGAAGATAACAATATTTTCACCTTTCTAGTTCTGATTAATAAAACGCTGTCCCAAATGCACAATTCAAATCCTGTAAGTCAATATTGCAGAGAAAGTTTAGGTTAGATGAAGCATTTGGATTAACAAACCTATCATTTCAACAGACAAGCTACACAAATTACGTACTTGCCTTCAGTAATGGGGAAGATACTCACCATCTCAGAGCAATTTTGATGGGCGTAGTAAGGCATGACGTGAAGAGGTCAGCTGGCAGATCAGGGATCATGGGCAGCAGCTCACTGGCCTCGCAAGCCGCCAGCTGAATGCAGTTCTTCATGGATGGCGGCAAAGGCATTTGAGCAAGCGGATGGTTTGGGTTAATCGCAGCCACCTGGAGAGATCAAGGGAATTACTCACTTAGGGAATTCAGCCCAGTTCATTTCTATCCCATTTTGAAAACGCCCAACAAAGCTTCAAAGTTCGATGGATCTCTGGATTCGGGGAAATTTAGAACTATGGCAGCACCAGCCGTAGTAGTAACTCACGTGTAACCAACAGTACCTGAGTGTATTTACCACAGCGATACCACACACCACCACCAGCAACTTGCAACAGACTGAACTGCGATCACCACTGCAGAGCCTTCAGTTCGCATCTGCCAGCCTGGGCTCAGGCACTGTAGAAGCAAGTTGGGCTAATTATTCTTTCTTTTACATTTAAGCAAAATCCATCCTTCCTGTGGCTCATAACCATTCCCCACAGAAGGCGGAATAGCTTCAAATGGAAAAATGGAATTCATTTGGCTGTACTAGGCAGCAAGTCCTGCTGCGGACCATAAAGATGACTCTTGTTGGTAAGCCAGAAGAATACTGCACTCCCTGTTTCTCCCCCACACATCTTTCTGCTTCACCAGAGCAAAAAGGCCAAGCTGGAAAAAAGGAAGAGAGGAAGTGACCGTGGGTACGTAGAGAGGCTATCTTCCAGAAGAACAGAAAGAGATGTGCGCTGCCTTCTGCAATGCAAATGCTATCACATCGGCAGACGTAAGTTTTAATCAATGCTTTAGAGAAAGGGTTTTGAGTCCTTATACATATTCCTCTGGATGGAAAAAACTGTGGTCATTTCTTCTCCAAGCACTGAGTGTTACGCTGAAAAATAACGCTAAAGTAAGGTCTTTGCATGTCAAGATCTAGAACTGTTGTAACAGGACATCACTTTCCAAGACTTATTTAGTTTATATTTAATTGGGCTTAATCACTTGTTTAAAACACTCAGAACTGAGACACATGTTAGTATAGATTCCATGCTGGCCACAGACTGGTGGAGTGCGTTAGCCCGATGGCGTTTGTTCATCTGCAGACAAAACCAGCTTTGCATAAATGCTATTCAACTCCTTCACCCCATGTGCTGTACATTGATTTCCAACAGGCAAGAAAGAACAGGAAACAGAGCAGGCGCATACACAGGCGTATGCAGTGCTTGTGTAAAGTCAAGGTCACGTCTGCTTTTTTAAAATTCTGACCTGCACTATGGCAATCAATTAATCTGCCCAACATCAGTCTATAAACTAGAAATACCACATACACCTATATTCCCATTTCTCAAAACCACAGCAATTCTCTTAATTAAAATTTTTATTTAGAGTATTTATTTTTGAGACTAACAATTCACAGAATGAAAAACACAGATAAATTTTCCAGGGCCTTTCTGAAACAGGTAAACACAGACTTCAGCCACCCCAAATTTTGATCTATGGAACTCAAAGGTTCTCAAAGAAATAGGGGAAAGAAACGTAACACGTGTGGTGTCTTCATTGCCCTTTCATGTATGAGTTCGAAAGCAAAGACCCACCAAAGTGATCTGCTGTGTTATCAAAAATAAAGAACTTCAGCCACTTTCTTTTTTTTTTTTGCCAACCAAGTAAGGTGATATAGTTGACTAATAAACTCCTTTACCATCTCTATACATGAAAAATGCTGTCTGTCTGAAAAGGAAATCCATCTGGTGTCCCTGAGGGCTCCACAGGGAACAGAATAGTTGTGTTACAAACCCAGAGCCTGGCACAATCATATACCTCTTGGCTAGCAAAGCCACCTGATAAGCTATGGAGAAATTTCAGATGCTTTTTCACCTATTAAGTTTTTTGATTCTTTACTTTCTTTTCCCATTCTAATCCCAGAGGCAGCGCTGACACACTTTGGCGCTCTCAAGTTGTCCAAATTAGCCAAGACCTGTCCTTGCTCTCAGCCGAGCTGTGCTGCTTTCAGCAGAGATACTTGCCATACCTCAGGTGGAAATGAAGCTACATTGAAGTCATCACTTGTCCTCTAGTGATATTTATTGCGCTTCTCAATAAAAATTAAGCTGTACGCTACTAAGAAAAAAAGATAATTAAAATACTGAAAAGATCTTTTACTTGAGGTGAAAGGCATGAGAGACAGCGTGGAAAAGCATTAGCTTTTAGATTAGCTATTAGATTTATAAATATAAAGCAGTTATATTTTGCTTCGCTATGGGTATTCCTCTCCAAAAGAAAGACTTGCCCTCTGGGCATCCTCATAAACAGGGTCCGTAGGTGGGCGGTACATTTAGATGGATTTTCTGCTTTCTGAGCAGTGTGAAACACTGACAACTCGACATTTGTCGTGGTCTCCTAGTGCCCCTCAGTTCTGATGGGAAGCAGCTCATACCCCAAGACCTGCTCAACCCTCGGCTTCTACGCAGTACGAGGAACTAAAGCAGCTGTGACACATGCAGTATAAATATTTGTCCATTAGGAGATGAACTATCAACAACCATAAAGTGAACATACAGTACCGGCCAGTAATTACAGATCTTGTCAGACCTGCAGGGATAATGAGGTAGCAAAACATTCTTTTACAAAGTAAGTGTGAAAGGAAAAAAAAAAAAGAAAAAAGAAAAAAAAAGAGGGACAAGTAAAGCCCACTATGAATATTTATTTTTGCATCCTTAGAATGTCCACTGAAGTGAGATTTTGCATGGTTCCCTCATAAACGTAACTTTTTGTTAGGGCAAGATATGGAATAAGTAGAAGGCTAAAGAAAGATTAAAAATGTAAATCAGTAGACGTACTCATTTACAACTGTAAAAATAGTAAATAAACTATGTAAAGTTGCCATATATTAAATGTTATCAAAATCATTAATAATATGTACTTATCTGCAATCTTTAATTGTTTGGGGTTTTTTCAGTTGCCAATGGTTTCTGTAAGGAATCAATTAGTCATAGACCTTGCAGCAGGTCATAACTAACCCACAACTCCTTTCAGCAGAAACACAGTTTCAAGGCAAACTGATGCATATTTTCCTGCGTAAGCTTTGTAAGTAAAAACTCCTTACTATCAACAGAGTGCTTATTGTGTTACTTATTGTTATTTCAGGGCAACTGACAATCCACAGCCTTTCAGACAAAATAATAGTGGTAACACTAATTTATCAATTATACTGAAATATGCTAGCATAAGATGGTGGTAATTAATTTGTTCTGAAAACAAATTCTAGCCACCCAAGCTAAGGAGCACTCAGGTTTGCTACTTGCAAGTGCTCTGTCTATCTGGAGGAAGAGCAAATGGATTTGTAAGTATTACAGCCTGTAATTAAGAGAGGAGGAAACAAGGTATGTATTTCAAACCACTGTTAGTGACGACATTTATGTACCTACATAATTAGACCAAGAAACAAGCACTTGACAGAAGACCAACCCTCTTTGAATTAACAGACATGTTCAAGGCAAACTTGGGAGGAACTCTGCCCCGAGACAGAAACTTGGGAGTTGTCCCTTCAAGTGCTGACCAGCCCTGCCGGCTTCACACCATTCCTGCTGCGAGAAGCCCCTTCCCCTGCGGAAGAGACTAAGGCAGCTACAGCAGAGGAGACGGATGTTCCTCTCTCCCAGCAGATGGTGGATTAGAAAAATGCTCCCCCCAGACACGATGCTAATGCCAGCTAACATTCTGCTGTGCTGTCGTTAAGCTAATTTTTTGAGAATTAATGTTGAAGACGGAAAAATAAAAGCTGTGAGTTCCTCAGCTCCAATTAGGAGTAGTTACTCATATACCCTGCTGGAGGGGAAACCGAAGAGGCACCGCCACCGCAATGCCGAATTCCTACACGGACAAAGAACAAACCAAGTTAGCATGCAGCTGTAAGGTACACTGCTGGAAAATTCAAACAAAGTAGAAAATCAAGAAGTGAGGTGTGTGCTTTGCTGCACGAGGTACAGGAGACTATTTCAGCCTTCACTTCTCTACATCTCAAATGTGGCTTTTCACGCAGACCTTTGCTGCATGAAACAAGCATGAGTCAGAGGAAACACAATGTCACAGTTACACAGAAAATTAATCAGAAATAACCAGCCTACTGTTTTATCATTGTTAGCACAGCACACTTAAAGTGCCCGCTTAATTCTCCAGAATTATGGTGTATTTACACCCGCAGAATCATCCAGGAGGATGACTAAGAGCATCCAGCGCCACCACTACCCTACACAGTGGGAGCGGAGCTCAGAGCTCCAGGGCAGGCACAGCCCGGTGCTCCCTAACCAGGGTACCGCTGCTCCGCAGGGATCGCTCCACCGGCCGACTTCTCACACTGGCACAAGGTCCAACACCTGCCGGGGCCCCTCCGCACCCTCTTGCGCCCTGGTCTAACTGTTGCCATGCTCAGTGATGCCAAACAGGACATCGGACAGGAAAGCAACAGCAGAAATTCCCATTTCTAAACGCTGGGGTCAGTTTTCAGGTCTGAAAAATGTGTTTTGGGAAAGGAAAACAATAGCTTTCTAATACAAATATCAGCACAAAACCGAAATGAATAAAGGCAGGATCAACTGGAAAAATGAACTTTACTATGCCACATCATAACCACAGCATGCTGCTAAATGGATGTTTGTGATCCACAAAATACACACTTTTGTTTAGCTAGATATCAACCCAAATCCTAAGCTTAACTGCCCATCCAGTTGGAAATTAAAACAACTCACAGATATTTCTCTGAAACAGTCAAGCCTACCACAGCCCAGGGGAGCCACCAGTCCCTGTATCCATTGCATCTCACTTGAAGTTTGGAAACACTGTGACATATTCGGAATGATGGGGGCTGGTAGACTTTACTAGCTTCATTGCTGCCCTATAAATACAAGATATGGACCTAGAATCAAATGACAAAATTATCTCCACATCTGCCTGTTCCCCATCCCGTCAAAAACCAGTTACAGCTGAACTGGCTCTGGCATCTTCAGAGCTGGATCCTCTGCCCTCGCCCTCCCCTCCCTCAGACCAGCAGTCCTGCCAAAAAAAAGAACTATTTTCAACCGCAGTCTGTTCACCGGGATGAGATACGGCAGATTCCTGCCCCTGGTATAGACTCTTCTTCCTCCGAAAGCCGATGTAGGACCCGCTACCCGCATAGCTTTTCACTCATCCACATCAGCCACACTTTATTTACTAACAAAAGGCCCAAAAAAATGTATTTGCTGTTCAAGTGCCATTTTGGAGGCAGCTCTCTAAGGAAGACAATGTACCATGCAGTGCTACAATATTTTCTCTTCTCGTGTATCTTAGAGAACCATTAACTACTTTTCTATCACTCCCAAGTTATCATTTCCTTTTGTGCTTCCCCTCTTTGGAGGCTGAACGAGGTTTAGATTTCACGTTAAGAAAGAGTACCAGCCTTTATATCCCAGGACCAATGAAAGCCAAATATAATAGGGTTGCAAACATGCCTGTAAGTATGTTGTAATTAATTTTTACATTTCTGGTGGAACTATGTACAATCTGATGGCACCTGGCCAGCGCTCTGTGCTAGCCAAAAAAAAAAAGGGATCCCCAAAAGAATAAACCAAACAGCCATGGCTTCTCTCAGCCTTCACTCTGCCGGATTAAGAGAACAGCAAGCTCCTCTAAGCTGCTTTCAGTAAGATGGGCTAACAATTATCTTGATCACTCCAGCAGCCCCTCTATGTACCAGCTTCAGCTTTACTTCACTTTTCATGAGTTTGAACAACTCAATAGTTGATAGTTTTCCAAATGAATTCTCATCCATGCTTTGTATGACACTGTAAGCACTCTTCTATCTCTGCTACCAAGTCTTCTGCCTTCTATTGATAATAAGCAGTTATCTCAGTAAGACTTCAGCAGTGGATGAAATCTGAAGATGCAGAACGGAATGCTGACATACAACCCTGAACGTATCTTCATAATCAAATTAACCTGTAGTTTTAACCTCTGTTGCAGAGAGAGGAAATAGTAAAGCAGTTTTCCTGTGTAACCTCACATATTTTGCAAAATAAAAATAAAACAACCCAGAGCAAATGAAATTTAATATTTTCGCTGTAATAAAGACTGACGTCATTACTTGTGCTCATCTTCCTTGTTGTAACCAACCGTCCTTGTCTGCAGACAGCCTGACTTACAGAGAGGAGCTCAGCCTCACCTGAGCAATTTATGTGTCACAGCAGAAACCATCAGAGGCGCCTGCGGCTGCTCCTTCCAGAGACCTTCACGCTCATTCCAGAGCTCAGCAAGAGCCAGGGAAAAAAAGGAAATTCATGACAAAAGCAGGGAAAGGGAAGGTAAGAGTTAGGCCCATTTGAACCTGCTAAGGAACAGAATCAGAGAACAAAACCAAAATCCAGAAGGTGCATTGTGCACACAAAAGAGAAAGGCTCTGAAAAATGTCACAGTGAAAGTCACAGGCTGATAGAAAAACTTGGAAAAGGAGAACAGAACATGACCACCAGATATTGTCCTTGACTGAAAAGGACGTTAACCTGGAAAAGGCATCTATTACCAACACTACTGAGCTGTGCTCTGCAGTTTTACGTTCCTGCCAAGCCACAGCCTTTGGGAAGTTTCTTATCTTTACAAAGTATGGCATTATCACTGGTTGAAGAGAAGGAATAATGAAACAATCCACATATCTCAAGCTATTAGACCAGTTTCTGTCAGTAGAATGGAATTTTCACCTTGCAAAAAGAGTGACCAGAAAAGCAGCTCCAAAAAATGGAATTTAGAATGAAAAGAATTAGAGCCAGGGATACTGTGGTATCTCCTTGAAGGTCCTATTTGTGACAGGCAGTTGCCTGATTAATTAATATTCCTTCCTTGAAGATGTTTTGTTTTGTTTTTTTAAATAGAGTGTCTTAGAACTGTGAGAGTGTAAGAGGTTACATGTTAAAAGACATGGTTCCATGTAAGCTAAAGCTAGCAGAATTCCTGGCAATGAGGAGTCTTGCCATCCCAAGCTGCTGCACAAAGAACTTCTTACCTTCCACTTTGCATTTCAGATTTACTTCAATAAATTTATTAGTAATGACATGTACAATGAAAGACCGCTTTGCATTAGAAACACATTCAACTTAAGCAGTCTGTGAAAGTGAAACCACCAGTGACAATCCCTCTGTGTATCAGGTTTATTTTATTTTGTTTTGTCTTTTCACATTCAGTTCAACAGCACAAAACTCTTAACTACACCCAAATACATACCCAGATACTAGACTCCTGCAACTGAAATAAATATGTCTACTTCACCTCAGCATTTATCTCAGCAGAAAAGACCATTAGGGCACAAATTGATTCTATTAACATCATCATTTAATTAGTGCTTGTATTAAAAATTATTCCAAGTTTAATAAGATAGCAAACTGAACCAGAAAGACTGCAGTGGCAAAATTATTTGCAAATTAATTTGCCTTTCAACATAGTTTTAAACACATATTTCAGCTGCATATAGCAAAGCAAGCTTCAACTTAACCCTGCGGCACAAACACAAGTGAAACCTTTGCAATAGACTGGGATCTCACCTCCAACTCCTGCTCCCTCTGTAGTGCAAATTGTTTGAATGACTTGACAATAAGGCCAGCATTAGAGCAATCGTAGACGAAAATGGAAGGGCTGCCCATCCAAGTTTGCAGGTCGTATATGGATAGAGGAATATACTGAGTATAGTTCTATAAGAAGGAAAAAAAACCACACTGGAGTTACAAAGAGGCAGAGAAGCAACAGAACTTTCATTAGTGAGATAATAAAATACACACAAAAAATTCCAATTCGGAAATCACAAAATAAAACCTAGATTGAATATTGGGCATATTAATCAATACAAAAAACAATCAACATCTAATAATAATGAGGACCTCAGACCCAACTCCAACACGAACAACAAGTAGATTTTATTGTTTGAAATGCTAAACTCTAAACTGAAATTCTAAAACTCAGAGTGCTCTGATATGTGCTAACAACCCCAACCAGCATTTAATAGTCCAATTTTATCTCGAATTTCCGCAACACTGATAAAGGATGTAAACCAGCTGTCTTTAATTTAACATCCAACGTCTTAAACTGAAAACTCCATCAATAAATCAAGACTGATCATGCAGCCCATCAGCAGCTACCCCATCCCAGTTTAATGAGATGCTTCATAATTTTATTACAGCCTTTAACTTCTCTGCAACTTTCAGAATTATCCAATAAAATTAAACCCAACAAAGTCTGCCTTCAACAAAGTGAAGTACCAACAATTCCGTTTCTGTAAATATGAAGTGTTTTGTTCCTTCTCTTCCACCTTAACCCCCCCAAATAATTGGAGGCAAAAGCTTCTTAAAATACAAGGAGGATCAAACCCCAGACATTTAAAATTAGCTCTGAAGGGTCCCACCCTAAACTAAGTGGCAGAACTGAACATATAAACCAGGGCAGATTTCTGCAGTGGAGCCTGTGAAGAGCCCCTGCCCCAGGCAGCGCAGCTGGCAGCAGAACCCTGCCTGGCTGCATCCGCACAGCGCCGAACTGCCCAGAACCTACAGTAAAAGCTGTGATGTCCCTATTAACATCAGCAGAACGATGGATGGGATCATAACTCCCATCTAAATTCAAGAGACTTAAAATAGCTGTAATAAAACCAGTAAACTTCTACAAAACTCAAATTTTCAAGGACAGATATCAGCATATATAGACAGAAGTGATCATAAACCATATGTTAGATAAGGTAGGAACTCGCAAGTCATTTCAAAATCCAGTTTTGCCCATATATAAGAGTTTCGGTTGTTTCATTAAAATTAATAGGAAAAAATGTTTATAAAAGCCAGAGTTTTAGGGAGTGAGGCGCTTTGCAAGCTGTTGCAGGATAGAACGATAGATGAACAACTCACCCTTGGCACAGACCTTTTCTAAGGACACCACACAGTTTAATCACATTCCAATCACAGTAAGTTACATATAAAAAACCTGCTTTGACATGTATAAATCGAGGAAATTTTATTGGCATGCATTGTTTTAACTTTCTATCCACAGTGCACATTGCTACAGTGAAGACTGGATTATAGCTCTGCTTAATATTGTGATATTTCAAAACAGAAGAATTTTATGTTCCCATTTTACTGTGGGGGTCACATAAAACTTACCAAATTTGCTAATGATATGTAAATGAGATAGTTTGAAGAAAAAAGGAGTGTTAAATAATAGTTTTCTAGCATGGTTGCTCAGGGTGATCTTTTGATGCTTGATCCTCCTGCCTCTGCCATGCTGGGGCTGTGAGTATGAAAGAACTTGTCCGCATGTTTTGTTCTCAGTATTGACTTTGGTTTTTAGCAAGAAAGTTTCTGCTCTGTTAACACAACTCCCACCATCCCTCTGTGATTGTCTAAAGGCATGACACAACAAACAACTAAACCAGAAACTGATTTTGAATGGATTTCATAACCAATTGCTTAACGAACAACTCAAAAATATTTTTAAAAACAACATTCTTCAGATTTTGCAGAGAAGTTCCTCAGAACTTTGGAATAAACATGTTTGAAGTCAGGGGCTTGAGGGTTTTACCTTTTTAAAACCACATTGGGATTTCCTCTGAAAATACTAGCAAGCAAAACTAGAAAAAGAACATTGCTCTTATTAATACAACAGAACTCACAATAAATATACGAAAAGCATGTTACTGCATCTTCAAAATCTGGCAAAAGGCCAGACAATGCCAAATTTACTGGTTTACGAGGACTGTCTCAACCCTTCCTTTGTACGCCCATACCATGCAGCAAGCCAGCGCAGGAAGCCTACAGTAAAATAACGTACAATTCCATCGTTAAGTGCTCGCTCGTAACACGTGTCAACAAGAGCAGCCAGTTAAATAAAACAAGGAGCCATGGCCATTAACGGCGTGAAGGAGGACTGCAGCTTCTGGCCCTTTTTTGGTCAAATAGAAGATGTTTCAGCAGAGCTGTGCACAGGATGAGTGATACGTAAATAGATTCCAAAGGACTCAATAGGAGCACAACGATGATGCGCATTTTGTGTTTCGTATTCTCACATTAGCAGCAGAATTTCCTTCTGACAACGTACACACATTTCATGTCTTTTTGTACAACAGTAAGATATAACAGGCCCAGGAAAAGGACATCTTCAAAATACTCATTCTTCCAAAGCATGCTACAATTTATACCATTACACCATTCCCTATCAAGCATGAAACAATGTTTGAAGAGCACACATTTCCTTCTCTAAAGCTTTTTTTTAGAGCTTCTGCTCCTCAGAAGTTTGTGGTGTTCAGCTTCCGCCCTGGGCTTTCTGAACTCCAGGGAATCTCTCACAAATCCCAGGAAATGAACCTTGTGGCAATGAACCTACAGGAACCCATCCCCAGTTCTTTCTACACATCTTATTATCTCTCTAACTGAAAGAGTTCAGGAACATTTTGTTTGTTGAGCTGCAAAGGAAGAATTAACAAACCAAAGCACCATAAGCGCCGTCACGTGCTGCCTTGGAGTAGCACTGCATGTGCTGAGCAGCTGGGGGAAAAAATTACAACGGAAAACACTTTCTGCTTCCCTTAACGCTGTATCTGACCCCACAAAGTTACCGAGCCGAAGCAATTTCTGAAGCATGTGTGTATCGCAGGGAGGAGGATGGGTGCGGGAAGGGGAGCGGGCACCTCCCCGCACGCTGTGCTGCAGAGCCGCCTCTCCCTACCACCGTCTTTTCTACAAAGCGTATATAGGTCAGGTTTAAATTCTAATAAAATGAATGCAGATGAGTACCAGGTTATTTATTTACTATTGTCCTCTTCATCTGTCAGGCTACATGAAGTATCAAAAGGAAAGACTTGCTTCATAGGTGAAGCCTGAAAGGTGAAGATAACCACAGAGATAGTTACGCCACAGCAAACACAACTTGATAAAATCTATTAAAAAAAATCCAACTCAAGGAAAACCTGTCTGTAAGAGAGAAGGCAGGTTTGGTTTTTGAAGACCAAGTTAGTTTAGCTACTAGCTTTTCAAGTGCCTTATCCAAATCGTACCATACTCCTTCCTCTTACTCACACCCCCCCTGTAGCATCTGAACACTGTTTAAACAAATGACTGAGCTGCGCAGCTGAAGTGAATTGGCTACATGACACTTCCTGAAGGTTTTAGCTTTTTTAATCTACGTATCAGGACATACCATGCTTAATCTCTCCTGAACACACTCCTGCTGTGTGAGAAGGCTTCTTACAGTGCAAATCCAGGGGTCTTCCTCCGACTGGGCAGGGGCACGACCTGCTAATGCCCTGGCAGTGCCGCAGCCAGGGAAATGCGGAGCCGGAGCAGGGCTACCCATCCAGGTGTTCCTGGGACGCCTGCGAGAACGTCTGTCCATCCGCCAGGCTCTTTCTCAACTAATTCAATCAGCTATATCAGCAGTCAGATTTTCAGAAGAGTAGATAATAAAGCATATGAGAGAAGCATTCTCCTTATATTACCATTTTTAACCACCAGTTCAGACAGAGCACCAACTGTGCAAGGGCAGCGCTCTAAATTTTAAATTTTAAAATACCAGCTCTTGAGAAATTAAGGGGAAGATATCAGGGAAGATATTAGTGAAGATCTAACACTCCATGAACTTTCTCCAGCATCATTACAAAGTGTTCCTACACCACTACGTCTATCTGCTGTCTCCGATAGCTTGCTGGCACGTGGGAGACTTAAATAATCTGTGGCACTAGAGGAGAGATGCTCATGAGCAGCCATGTCCTTTCTGTCCGCTGCATCGTACCTCCTCCAAGCCCACACATAGAATTGCTTGGGGTATTCAGACAACACCACAACATTCCTGGCATCACAAGCTTTAGGAAGAGCTGAAAGCCATAGCCTCTCAAAACATGATGAATAAACAAAACTAAGCGCTGTGACAGCAAAAGCAGATTTCCAACGATGGCTGGTTGCTCCAGGGGACATAGGTGAAAAAGAAAATACTGAACAGGTACTAAGGTCCTCCAAGTTTCCAGGCTTTCTGGTGGTAGCTACCAACAGCACTGCAAAGTTGCTTTCACGTCTTCTCCCCTCACAGCAAACCGGTGGAAAAGAGGCATTGGGTCTGTGCAAGGTGCTGCCCCAAACAGCTCTGCCTCGTGTGCCGCACGCAGGCTGGGCTGCTCAAACACAGTGAAGTCCTCTCTGTCACCACCGACCTCATCAGCCCCACAATGGCTGCACACCAATTTTAGGGGGGGAGAAGAAAGGAAAAATGATCATCTACAGACCAAGAACAAAAGCATATTGGAATGTTTGCAGAGCTTCCTGAAATTCATTGCTGTCTCCTGCCCTCGAACGAAGATGTCGCTCCTCCTATTTGCCCCACGCCCTCCGCTCCCCTGCAGCACCTGCACCGAACCCTCGCCAACAGCCTGCAGAGCCTCCCCAGGACCACGCACTCCTGGGAACAGGAGGAAGATGCTCAACTCGGCCACGTGGAAATCACTATAAATCCAACACCTTTTATTTGCTTTGACAAACGCAGGTCAGCCTGTAACACCCCACATCCATGAACAAGGCCTGGCTCATCCCTTTTGGCCCCTCGCTTGGATGATCTCAAGGTCCCTTTCAGCTTTGCCTTCCTGCTCTTATAACTGAGACTTCAAGTGCATGCATGAGCATTTTAAATCCAATTTTAAAATGTCAGCGCAGTCAAATTTTCAGTACCTCTACTATTTCAATTCAAGAGGGCTATAATGCTGAGCCTCACAGGCCCTCTGCTTAGGTCTAAGGTTGAATTCTTCAGAAATCAGTCCTAAGCCTTGTTGATTTTCCCCCCTCCCCAGTACTTCCTTAAGTTTAATCCTTTGCTTAAAAGAAAAGTTCTGCTCCTGATTCTTTCTTTCCAAAAAAAGCCAGTATTTGGTAACATGCTGCAAAAATCACAAAGTTTCAACTTTCCCCATCAACCTCTATGACAATCAAATTCTTTTTTTCACCATCTGTAAGATAAATCAGACACCTCAGCTCCTAATCACCAGTGCCATCCATAGCACATTACCTCAGCTGATACTGCACGCAAACTGGCAAATACCCAGTAAGCTCTTGGTAAAGCATTTGGCGCAACACACAACTTCATTGAGCAGTAATTTCCTCCTCTTGCATGTGTAACATTCCACCCAGCATTCTTTCTGGCTTATTTATTACCCACTGGCTGTCAAGTAAGAAGAAGGTCACTCTTATTTGTTCTTAAACACCAAATTCAGCTTCAAAATGAATTAGTATTCAGACCAATTGTGTATCGGTCTGAATACTAATCAAGTCTCCAGTATAGATGCACCAGAATAAAGTGATGCCCTGTTGCACTTTCTCCCCTTCCCTTCTACCCTGTTCTTTCAAATCACCAGTGAATACTCATTCAATTATAAAAATAATACATGTGAAGTATGAGAAAAGCAGCTCAATAAGCCCCCAAAATAAAATAGGAGCATATGTATAATAATGAATGCAAGTCCTATGTCAGCTGAACATACTTTTCAGCTACAAGCAGTATCTCTCCATTTCTTAAGACTCCATTCTAAACAGGTTACCCTTAATATACATGAAATAGCTTAACTAAAGGGAAAGCAAAGTACATTTAGGGCACACTTGGTATCACTCAAAGGGTGTTGCAGGTGATCTACATAGCTGTGCAAACCATGGCTACAATCCACAGCTAAGCAAGAGTAACAAAAGTCTTTAAAAAAATAAACAATACCTATTATATTGTACTCAGAGGCTCTTCAGCACTCTGTGCTCTGAAGCAGAGCTAGCCATCTGTTTTCTCATTCTCACGCAGTATCTCTAGGTTGTTTGAACAATGGCTGTTCAGAGTTAGTAGATATTTTAAGCATAAACTTCACGGTAAGAACTTAATAATCAGTCAGGGACAAAAGGCAGCAGAGCCAGATCTATTGGGGGGGCCTCACTGTTTGCCCAGACACAACAGAACTGGGGTGCCATCTCTGCAAAGCAGACGAAGCAAGGGAAAGCAGCTGGTTTTTCAGTGCCTGGCAGTGAGCCTTAGTGCATCTGAGAGCAGGCTGTCCTGCCTGCCGGGAGGTGGGGGACGACCTGTTTGGTCTCAGAACTTCAGGAACAGAAGAAAGC